GTTAAAATCTAAGGATGTTCGTAGGGCCCTCTGGAAGGGTTTGACCTTAAGGAGTAAAGGATCTTGGGCATCCAGTGGAGGGAAGGGAGATGCCATGGGAACATGCTGTGCAATGGAGAGGCTTTTCAGGAGTGGAAGCAGACTCTAGTAAAGTGAACAGCAAGGAAGGGCGCCTCTAAGTGAAGTATGCAGCAGTTTATCGAGTAGTAAAGGTTAAAAGCGCTTACAAGATAGCAGTCAGATAAAAGCTCATCAGGACCATTGTGGTCTGAGGAAGGAGTGTCTGCACGTGCTGTGAAACACGTTACCGCCCCCTGGATGTCACTTCCGGCGTGTGTGTTCTACGTCTCTCCTGGAAGTACGCTTTCACTCCCTTCCAGTCCAGACATTTTCACCCCCTTCCAGTCCGGACACTTTCCCCCTTTCCAGTCGGGACCCTTTCACCCTCTTCCAGTCCGGACACTTTCACCCCCTTCCTGTCCAGGCCAATTTTCAGCTTTCAGCGCTGCTGTCGCACTTTCAATGACAATTGCGCGGCGGTCATGCAACATTGTACCCATATGAACTTTTTAGCATTTGTTTTGAGACAGATAAAACTAAAATATATGTTAAAAAAATATGAAGAATGCATTTAAAAATAAATATTACTTTCCCTGGCGGTATTTTGGTGGTATTTATTTCACCGATGGGATTTTTTTTGTGTCTATATAAAAATTTAAAAATTTTAAAAAATTTTTTTTTTTTTTTTTTTCATTTTTACACAAAAAACATTGTGTTTTTCTTATATGTTATAATTTTGTCCCGATTACTTTTTTTGCATATGTTGTTCTTTCTGCCTGGAAAAAAATGTCCAAAAATGCATTTAATCAGCTAAATAAATATCAGAACCACTTAATTGATGATATTGAAAATAGATTAAAAAAAACGATTTTGCGAAAGCATGTGCGATTTTTCATTTCATATTTGTAATTATATTATTGAATTAAAAAACAAATTTATCATTACATGTACTGTGTATATATATAAAATTAAAAAAAACATAATATTTACCAAAATAAAATAAATATTTTGAAATATATTGATGGCCTAAATAAATGTTAGCATTTCAAATATATTTTTCTTTCCATGTGGGTATATGGTCTGGTTACATTGGGAAACGGGTTCCCCGTTTATATTGCGCCCATCTCAGATCACGCCTCAATGCAGGAATCCCAGTCGCTTCGCACCGTCAGCCCGATTGTAATCTTTAAAAATACATTTAATCTACATTATTGGAATGCATTTACAAATATTTGTTAAAATTACTTTTTTATATATTAAAAAAATATGAAGAATGCATTTAAAAAAGAAATATTTTTAAACATATTTTTCATATATTTTGTAATATATAAAAAACACATTTCAACATGCAGTGTATATATATATATATATATGAAATATATTTTGAAATATATTGAATAAGGCCAAAATTGTAGCATTTCAAATATATTTTTTCTTCCGTGTGGAACTGGTCTGGTTACATTATTTCCGTTTATATCACTCCCATCTCAGATCACGCCTCAATGCAGGAATCCTAGTCGCACTGCACCGTCAGCCCAATTGTAATCTATGTATATATATATATATATATATATATATATATATATATATATATATATATATATATACTGTATGTTGAAATGCATTTATATTACAAAATATATGAACAATATTTTTCAAAAATACATTTTCAAATAAAATGTATGTCTTTAAAAATACATTTAATCTACATTTTTGGAATGTGTTTACAAATATAAGTTAAAATTATATATTAAAATGACTTTTTAATATGTTAAAAAAAATATGAAGAATACATTTAACCTCCCTGGCGGTATGATTCCTTCTGATTTTTGTACTGAAAGCGGTACCATTTTTTCGCATGGAAATAGTTTTTTATTGTAGGCTGTAATTTTTAGGAAAATTTCCCACAAATCATTATCACTCAATTCTGTAAGTGGTTCTGATTTACTATCGCTGTTCTCTAGCCGGTCTAAAACCGCTTTTGACGTAAATGGACGCTTTTTGGACGCCATGGACTTTTCTAAGTTTCCAGGCAGAAAAGAACAGACAAAATGCAGGCAGGGCGCAGGACAAAGCACTAGGGACAATATGTATGTGAAATGGGATGAAACAGCAATGTTTTACTATTTAAAATTGAAAAAAAAAAAAATGTCATTTTTTTAAATTTTTTAAATTTCCCGCCGCCGGCGGCGGCGCCCGTACGTCCCGACGTCACGGGGACCGGAACACAGAAGCCGGATGCCGGCATCGGCCGGAGGAGATGGCCGGGGACGCTGCAGGGGACACATCGTGGGAACGAAGGACAAGGTAAGTGCTGCAGGGACCCCCAGAGCAGCGCCGCATGGTAAGCCCGAGTGTAGCTCAGGGTTACCGCTTGTGGTATAGAAATTCTACCCCGAGCTACACTCGGGAATACCGCTAAGGAGGTTAAAAAAAAATT